TTATATACATTCATTTTTGGTAAGCTACCCGATTCTTGGCTGATCCTCCAGACTGGGTGCGAGTCACGAGTTTAGGATCTACATTTACATCTACATTTTGTAATAGATTGGAGCATTGGAAGACCCACTCGTTACGCTATTCGCACTGTGCGACGACAGGTTGTTCTTTTGCTGTTTTAAGATGCCTTGTAAGTCTAACGCAATTGCTTTACCGACATCGAGCCTGCCTAAGACAAGTTCGCCAACAAGTCCCAAGCACCGGTGTGGCTCAGTGGTAGAATACTGGGCTGGCACGAAGTGGACCCGAGTTGCAGCCCCACCGTGTCTTTGGTACTGGTTTTTTTCTTCTTATTTCTATGATAGAGGTTAGGGACACCAGCGGCGGCGGTGGACAAGTACAGCGCCGGGCGTGAACAGAGTTTTGATCTCATAACAGCTTTCGCTGTAAAAACTGACAGGCTTGCGCGAAACGTGCGGCAAAGTCACAGCAAAAGCTAGAAGAGCAGCCTTTTTAGAGCCTTTCTTGGGTAACATTCCTTGGGTAACTGCTAAAATAACACTTGCAGGGTATCCCACTACACGATAAATTATCATAATTTTTGTGTAGTAAAAGATATTCACTATCCATTTGTCGTAATTTTTTAGAAGTGTAGTGCCCGCTAAACACTTGCAAAGGAATTTTTCGATGCTGTGGCTGATGACGATGAAGAATTATAGTTCATACTTTGTAATGGCTCGGAGCATTCGACAATCTACTCAATACCTGATTCACATTGTTTGATGCCTCATTGTTTCTTTGTTGTTCTAATTTTATTATTCCTTATAATGAGATTCTTTCCTGACAAAAGGCCTACATAGGGTAAGTTTGCAATGAAGCATCAAGCACAAAATTTGTCAACACTTTACACATCTTCAAGGCACTAGTCATGCACGTCTAGATAGATTTTATGTGTGTTCTGAGATTACGCCTTTGTGTCAAAACTATGATGTCGATGTTTTTCCTTCAGTATTCATTGCTTGGTGTCATTTGAGATTGGGCAAAAGTGCAAAAAGAAGATGGTATGGGAAAGGCAGAAATTGAATACTAAGTTAATCACACACAAAGGCCTTGTTGATAAGACCAAGAAAAAAAATCCAGTTTTTTCAATGACACAGAAGGCAGTGCGGCAGAAAGGTGTGAATTGTTTAGGTAAAAGATAAAAATAACGCCGTTGTGTGGGGCTGTTACGCAATATCAAGTGCGAAAAGAGGCGACCTGCGGTAAGAGCTTAAAAATTTGGTCAAAATCGAAACAGACCTAGTGGGTGAAGCGCCGACCTAGTGGGTGAAGCGCCGTAGTGGGTGAAGCGCCGTAGTGGGTGAAGCGCCTTCACCCACTAGGGTGAAACCTAGTGGGTGAAGCGCCGACATAGTCCCTTATCAGATGAAAATGCGTACCCTCGAGTTAATAAAATATTGTAAATTAAAATGAATAGTACTATCAGTGAGAGAACATAATCAATCAAGAACTTCTTTCGTATCGCGTGCCAAAAGGTCTGAGAATACAGAAATGCCGATACTTAACGCGGAAAAAATAGTACTACTAAAAATGACTACCTACTACTGCAAGAAAAACTGAGAGGGCTATAGATCTCAGTATGGGCAAATTATTGGGTCAAGATGGTATTAATGCTGATTTTTATTAAGCGTTTCAGTCGCATATGACTGAGTCATTGTATGAAGTAATTTCAGAGCCTTTTGTTCTGGGGACTATGCCTCCATAGTTTAATCGTGTGCACACAGCATTGATCCCTAAAAAAAGAGAAATATGTCTTACATAGAGTAAGAGGATACAGGCAAATCACATTTATGAAAGTGGATTACAAGGCATAATAAAAGTTCTGTCAAGGAGGTTGCAAGGAGTTGTACACAAGTTGGTTAGCCACATCAGACATGTGGCATAAGGGCAGGAGTATATTCATGAATATTCACGTCGCTAAAAGCCTCTCAGAGTATTGTGATGCCACAATCCTTAAAGTGGCCATGTTGCAAATAGATCTAGCCAAAGCATTTGACATGGTGCCCCACAATATCCTGTTTATGTTAATATAACTATTTTTAAAGCAACTCTAGAATGCCCTGCGGTCGTGCGGAGCACTATCGGGAAAACGTGTATGCTGAGTGAGGTGGCTGTCCCAGCAGGCACACCACTCTTTGGCGCCATACAAACACGAAACGAAAATAATGTGTCGTCTCTATGCATGAAATGTGAAAGGAATAAAGCAGTCAGTGTGCGGATGAGCTGAGCGTGTTCTGATACATGTAGTGCTACTGTCAGGAATGTGAGGTGGGACACAGAATTCCCAATTATTCAATGACTAACTGGTCACAAGGCGCTATACCATTTATTACCTCCGCAGTGGAATTGAGCCATTAACGCCAAATTGCAGATAAGTGTTACAGAGTGATTTGACTTTTATTAATAATTCACACACTGTTAAAAAAAAGTGAGCACATTCTAAATGTGTTTAAAGATAAGGGAATGGAACTAGAATCCACTTTTGAGGTACTTTGCTCAGATAATTTGCAGTGTCCTAATAAAAGCTTCGTCCCTGTGGAGCATGTTTTTTGGCAGTATATTTCACATTCAGTGAAACCGGTGTTGAATTTTGTGTCGGCATATTCAAATATTGTTTACGAGAAATAATGATGTCGCACTCGGCGTTGAAGACAAAAGAAAACCAATAAATATTGTGCACATACCCGTGCAATAGTTTACAGCTGCAAATTGATCACCTCAAGGAGGCGCGGTATTGTTCACATCAGCAACACATGTTCCATACAAGCCATATACCCCGACTTCTAATTCGGGAAAAAAAATACCACTTGTCCATTTTCGAGGCGCAGTCAGTGACAAGGCCACCAACGCGCACTCGGAGTCATTTGCAGCGAGCGTCGAGGTATAGGTGCACTGAACTGGCAATGCTCAGATGGCAAAGCGTTTCTAAATCGCATGCACACAAGGGTATAAAGATGGGTGTGTTGGTAATACTTAACTAATAACGTACCTTGTAAAGACTGAGACACAGGATGAGTGAAGAGGAGCGCTCCTCTATGTCCCTTCTCTTGTCCTGTGCCTTACTTTTTACACACTACGTCATTAGTTGCCCATGCACACAAAGCTTTCAGGAATATCTTCATTTGCACGCAAAGTTCAGAATGAGCTCCGCGTACATTCCTGACCCCCCAAACTGCAGCACCATCTCAACTCATGCGACAAACACTACTCGTGGCTCAAAGTCATCGACAAATGCAATGTGGTCATACCCTCTCTTTATGCAGAGTGGCAAGTGCCAGCACCCAACTTATTCTTACACTGTGGCTGTTGCACCTTGGAACTGAATCGAGGTGCTGCGGCGCAGTACAGCGCTAATAAACGAGTTTGGCGCAGCAAGGCTGGTTTGGCACAGGATGGTGCAGGTAAACAAGCTTGGTGTACAATGGTGCAAATGGCGCAGCTGTTCCCCCACTGTGCATGTATGGCCACACTCGTGTTTGTGAGGAAATCTGAACACATCTGCCATTTTATGTGATGCCGATGCGGCTGATGCTACACCAGATGCATATCACATAGGGGATCTGCCGCCACAGAAGGCTTACAATGTACATTGCCAACACATGATGACAGCGAAGGATTACAATCAGCCTGCCCTTCAAGTTCACTTTTTAGGAGAGCTCACAAAAATGCAGGCAATTCCTACACATACATCACTATCCGTTTACAAGTAAAAAGAGCGAACCTTGATATGATACCTTTTCATAAAATGTCTTTCTTCAAGACCTTCCTAGTCAGCTTGAGCATGTTACAGCACAATAGGCAGGCATTGTTTCACACTAAAGACAAAAAATGTTAGGCCGGCGACAGCAAACAAGTGGTTGAGTGTGTGCTTACATGAGAAAACAACCGCTTGTGGTTGCTTCGCTCATTTGTGCTAGAAGCGCCATACAGTTCTCCAGAGTGGAAAGAGAAATACATCGCACCAAACACAACAGCTACAACGCAGTGAGAAGCAGCCGACCCAGACTATGAGTTGCCAGCAGCAGTCATCAGCACCGCCATGTTAACTGAAAAGTAAATGACGCAACGTTGGAGCAAAGTGACATAATGCACTATGCGGGACGTCGCGAACCTCTCTTGCAGAATGAAGGGAGCTGAACAGGAATGCGACAGGTAAATATTGCCATCCCTGTATCTCCGGCTTTACTATAGCTTTTCGAAACATTCTTTAAAAAAAAAATGTTCTGGGAGGCGTCAGACTGATTCGAAGGAGTTTTTTGAAAGCCAAGTGCGAGGGTTGATTCCTGACCCTTTTAAGACACTCACCTTAAACAACATTGGAAGTCATTGGACAAAAGTTATCGCTCACACCTAGCTGATCATTGCAAAAACTACCATTGCCATCCTGCATGGTGTGAAAACAAGGTCTTGTTTAATCATAGATAAACTAACATGCAGTATGGCTGAAGCATTTCACACCAAAAAATGTGGAGGTAACTGCATAAGCGAACCATGAAATCATACTGTGCTTGCCTGCTCAACGAACGGTGTGTCCATCCAAAACATCCTAAGGCCAAAGTCTCTTTGTGAGCGCGCCGGAGAGCTGGCTCACGTAGGTTGCATAGCGTGAAATCTGCAATACTACTTTCTTTTCTAAAGTAAAGCTGATTCATACTAGGGGTATGCAAAGTATGCGAGTAAATACAGGATATACCTCTCTTCTTTCTCTGCTACAGGATGTCTAATTGACAAAAGCTTGCCCAAGGCAACACAAAACTGCTGCATGCTTCCTTGGGTGTTCTAGTGCTCTTTCATTTACAGAGTAACTATGAGCTGCTACTGTGCATCGGGAAGCTATCCTGTGGGCCATGATGCTGCCCATATCGTTCTGGGCTGTGCGCTCATTTGACCTATCACTGGCACCGGCTGACCACATTGTGCTAACCTGAAAAAGCTCACTCACCGCTCTTCTTAGACTTGTGTTGCTTGTGGTGTGGCTTCTTTTCGGGCTTCTTGGTACCTGCGCCGATTCTTTGGCTCAGTTGTCTCGCCAGCTCTCGCATCTGTCGGATCTTCTCCTTGCTCAAAAGCCCTTGTTCAGTGCTACCTTTCGCCTCTGCTGCTCCAGGGTCGGCTATTTTGGTGCTTTCGTTGCCTGCCTGTGACGACCCCTTCACAGGGCTGTCTTCTCCACTTTTCTTGCTCTTCTTGAGCTGGACATCCGAGCCAGTGCCAGCAAAGATGGCACTCGTCTCTGTGCGCTGCTTCTTGTTGTCGTCAGGGAGGGTGAAAAGCTCATAAAGGTCATTGGTCTTGAAGAAACGTCGCTGCTTCGGGTCCTTTAGTACTCGGTTGGTCAGGAACTGCTTGAAGATCTGCCTGGTATAAAGCAGGCACATCTCTATGCACAGCCAGTGGAAGAAAACACTTAGCAAGGTTCACATTTAGACGGTAATACGGAAGAGAATGTACTGAGCATGAATCAAGCAGGATGCAAGCAGTTAGTGACATGAAAGCAAAACCAACAAGTCTCCCACTAAAGGGCTGATAGAAGCCATGCTGCATAAGTGTTAATAAATTGTTGTTTTTATAGCAATGAAGAAGGGCTGAATACATGACATTGTATACACTTCATATGGGCATGGGAAAAAAGTGAGTAGAAAAAAAAAACATGCTGTTATGTTTCAATAAGAGAACAAACCGAGTTATTCTCACACACTGAAATGCCGCTAAACACAGCTCCCCAATATTCACTGTAAATGCCCATTCACACCATCACAGAGCCTTCTGCTGTATAGGAGCAATCTCAATCAAACTCCACTATGTCCATTTCACTGTGTCCTTGTCGGAATGGTGTGAAGATGATGGTCTTGGATGTGCACTGCTTTAAAAGAATGTCTACGAAAAAAACGCAGAGAGGAACAGAAGGGGATATGAAAAAATGCTTATCCAAGACTTGACCATGAACCAACCAGCCCCACCCATTGCCTTACTGCGATGGAGAGGTATGAAATGTTCTCCAGAGGTTACGGTTGATAGTAGCTTCGATTACGAGAACTGCACGAAAATGCACAAAGGGTGGCCAGATTTGGTGTCACATGTAGGGGAGAGCAAAAGTGGTGTTCACACATGGTAGCGCAAGGTGGATCATGCATGGTGGGTGATGCCTCGGCACTGAGGGCTTCACAATGTGCTCACAGAGTCTGCTGCTGAATCAGAGCAAGGAAGCCTATTCGACCAATTAAGAGCTGCAAAAGTCAACTCACTCGAGCTGTGAAGCACATGCATAGTAACTGCATGGCCTTGTACAACCCCAAAGTTATGCATGCAACCGGGTTTAATTAAATCATACCTGTGGTAGATTTTCTCTTCAATGGTGCCAGCCGTCAGCAGGCGGTAGATGGTGACGTCCCGACGCTGGCCAATGCGCCAAGCGCGCTCTCGGGCTTGCGTGTCTGTGCTGGGATTCCAGTCGGGATCGTAGATGACCACTCGATCGGCACCCGTCAAGTTGACGCCCAGACCACCCACCCTCGTTGTCAGCAGGAACACAAACACTGACGGGTCCTGTTGAGAAACCCGCATTTTCAAACACTTGAGAGGGCCTTGCTACGAGCTAATGCAGGCCCACCAAAGTTACTAACTGGGAAAGCACTCTCTAATGTGAAATTGTAGCTTGTGTGCCACATAATCCCGCAGGTGCGTTGGCAATAAAAAACTAACTTTCAGCCTCAATGACATAAACATCTTTGCTTCAGCAGTGTGGACTGCAAGTGCTATGGCGCTATTTTGTAGCCTCATGCAACAGTCTCTTACATATGCTCTACATCTGCTTTCATTGTTCTCTGTTTTTTCGGTTATGACAGAATGCGAGCCAACACTAACCTCAAGGCTGCCCGCTCAAAAAAACTTGTCATAAACTGAAGCAAGAATTCCCTCCGTCCTCATTCCTGTACGTTCACACTTTGCAGTGAGAGCATGCCTTGAAAAAAAAAAAAAAAAACTGAAGTAGGGAGCTCAAGGCTGGAGGAACACACTTTTTCTAGTGGACAATGCAAGAAATTCACATAAGTGGCAAATACTTGTGGTGTGACAGTGCAGAACACAGAAAAATATGAAATTATGGTTTTAATGAAAACAACTGCATACTTATAATTATTCCAGTGCCACAAAAATTTCCATTGTTATAATCAATGATTGTAATTAAATGGGTTGCATGAAAAGGAATGAAACATAGGCAAAATGACAAAATAGAACAAAAGGGTATAACAAAGAGAAATATAACACCAGAAGAGAAATCAGTAATAATGACGACCCAGATCAGGCAAAATGCGATAAGGTTGCGGTGGCAAGCTATTCAACCGCTGGGGTGAGATGACCACAAGTGAACACCAGGTGCTCCTCACTGGCTGCTCAGTCTTGCTTATTCCGCACAAAGCTTGATGGCATGCTTCTTTAAGGCGTTCAGGCGCTCCATACAGTGCAGAGGAACATCCCTGGTGATAACATATCCCTGGAGAGACTCAGGCAGCATTGATGCAGCCCTCTAACACATCGTTTCTGCTGTCATTGCAGTCGCTCTCCAATGCACGCACATTCGCGACAATCACCTCATTGGGTTGATGTTTCAGCATGTTATCAACATGCAAAAACACTGCAAGCCCTGAAGCATCCTCATAACTGCGGGAGCTTTGCAGGCTTTGTGTGAGGCACGGCACTCTTCAGGCAAGGGCTTCAGCAATGCGAGTTAGTTTCGGAGCAGCTTTTTAAGGTCAAACATCATCGTCAATCAAAATTTTTTCTCGTAATAAATTACAATGGTTTTCAAAGACCAAACATTCAGTACTAATCAGCTTACCAGACTTACTATATGGAAGTGTGCGTGTGTGTGTGTGCATGTGTAAAATACATGCTAAATTAATACTCATCCTGGAAGGACACAAAAAATTTATTCTGGGTGATAAAAATATGGAACTATTTTTTTTACGCGAATGCATCTACAGCAAGGAGTCTCGCTAGCCTCCACAGCGTTGCACACTTGATGTGTGAAACCCGTCAGGTTATCGCAGAGGTTTGTTATCCTCGTGCTAATTAAACACATTACTTTGCTTATCTGTGCTCTGTCTGGAGCGAAGTGAGGAAGAGCAGTTACCACAGGAAGTCTATGCGTACCCTACGGCAAGCCGCCAGACAGCGACAGCATGGGCAGCATAGGCACTGCACTGAACGGAACTAACCAGGAGATGAGGAGTCGACCGACCGCTCCGTGTTTCAAAGAGATTATCAGTTGTAACAAACTATCAGATAGCGGTAGAGAAGCACACATATATATCGCAAAAAGTTAATAGTGTTCCTTCTGTCGCAGTTGCTGTGTTAGCCGGACCCTGTAATAGTCTTGAAAACGAAGGAAACATCTTTCTGGTGTGCATTTTGAGCAACATCTTCTGTGGTACTGTATTTGTTTATTGGTGGTGATGGCGCACGTCAGGAGATGCGCATTGCAACTTGTAACGACAGCGTTCCCCAGCTGGTATAAATTATCGCGGTTTCGCTGTATTGCTTGATAGAGTGGAATCCTGGTTCTACATTTCCCAGTTTCACGGCAACCTGGCTTTTACGACAGATTTGTCCCGTTCCGGCAAAAGCCCCATGAATGCAATGCATTAAAAACCTCAATTATCTGATGCCATTTTACGGGGAACCCGCGTTTCACGATGATCCGCACGAAGCGAAGGGACCCAAAGGCGAAGAAAAGGGAAATGCCGCAGGTGCCTTTTATCGCACCAGCAGGAGAAACCCTTCGCATGCCGAGTGCTTCGAAAAACAGTTTATTTCGGTTTTCAGCTGCCGTTCATTCGTCTTCCTTTCAGCCTTTTAGCGGCTGTGAAAGCAGCGTAAAGGGGCCTGGTTGTGGTTTTCCCCATTTTTTCCACCCTTTTTGAACGACCATCTCTCCCGCTTTCGTCGCGCAAAGGCGTTCAAAGGATTTTGTCTAGGGAAGGCTAACCTGTGTAGCATCTTAGTAGGGGGGGGGGGGGGCATTATTAAGATGTAATGTAATGTAATGTGATGTAATGCTGCATCATTAGGACTTACCTGAAAACGCATCTCAAAACGATGTCATGTACCTTCAGCAGTGCAGCTGCCATCTGCTATCAACAATCACCCTTGATATAAATGAATGTATTGCTCTTGTTACGGGAGCTTGTACAACAATGGGCGTAACGGTCTGAACTCGCAGTGATGCATCCACAACCCGGGGACGTAGCTCCATGAGCGTCTTCTGGAGCATGTCACCTCCGCGTACAATATGGCATACCTACTATCGAAAATGCACGGGCTCTTTCTCAAACACAGAACCATCAGACATGCAACGCACTCTGAGAGGCAGAGGAGACTGGGAAAGAAGGCGGCACTGGCCCGCCCGCACCGACGGCGATATGTGGCCCCAAGGCACACAACGCATACGAATGGCGCTGACCGCCATCCGCGTGGTATGCACGACTTAATACGGCGGCTTCATCATGAAAGCCAATCGAAATATATTGTAACAATACTGATTGTTGGCCTAGTTGGTACTTGCTTACTGACATCCGGGCGCTGCATTAATGAACAGGTTAGGGAGCATGAATTAAATTTAATGAAAGATGGCTTGGCGCATTTGACTATGCATTGTAAAGCCTGCAGGTGTGCACCATATTTTAACGAGGTTAAGATTCTAGGTAGAAATAGGCATAAAACTGCGCGTGAGTTAATGGAAGCATATTACATTAAGAAGAAAGGTGAAAGTTGTATCAGCAAACCATTGGTGATGTACTTATCGCAGAAGAGATCGTTCGATAGCTGGATAGCGTAAGGCTGTGTGAAGACTGCGCATGTCTGTATGTTGTTACTTAAGCCTGGATTTGCACCAAGTCTACTTTAGTTGAAAGTGCCGCTTGTGCTTGTCGTTTAGTGTTTCTTTACTTTGTGTGTGTTATTTTGTGGCCAAAGCATGTCAGTAAAGCCAATCGAAAAGCGCTTCACAAGAGTCCAATGAGATCCTTCTGAAATGCGAACTTTTTTCAGCTCCTGCCTTTTGAAAGGGGTCAGTTTAATACCTTAGGAGTGTCAACAATGGCGCAGTGGCCCTCTTTTCGCTCTTTTTTTCTTGAAGTGCATGTGTCGTCCGTGATTGTATCACATGGCTACGCGAGATGTCACCGAAGCGAGCAGCTTTTTCACTCAGCGAAAAGCTGAAAATCATTGAAGAAGCCGAGAAGTGGCATGGAGCCACAAAGCAATTATTTCCTGGGAGCTAAAGATAGAGGAGTCTTTATTGAAGGCTATTCTGGCTAACAAGTCTTCGATTCTTCAGAATGCAATCAAGTTTGGACTGAAGCAGAAATATGCCAAAAAAGGTGACCACGAAAATTCGGAGAAAATGCTGCTGAACTGGTTGATTCAAGCGCGGAGCTCTGCCATCAATATTGACACCGCCATCCTCAGAGAGAACGCCAACCTTGTGGCCTTGCGCCTGGGCATCAGCAATTTCAAGGCTTAACAATATTGCCATGTGGGTGAGAGTATGAATAAAATAAATATATTTACAAAATATACGGGGAGAGTCAGAGGCAGCTGCAGCCAAGATGAAGGAACAACAGCAACAACACGTGCGCGCTCACATTCATTGTCTTCATCGTCTACCTGATCCGCTCTCGTTGCCGATGTCGTGTAACATATGACCTCCCGCCGCCGGTAGCACTGTTTTGGCGCCTAAAGGAGAGTAGGATCATGTGTTGAGATGTATGGTTTGAGACGGAACACGTGGACAATGTCAGTGGCGGGTGCGGACGACGACGACTGACTGTCCAATGGAGCGATCTGATATGTGACTTCAGTAAGCCAGTGTAAAACCTTGTAAGGCCACGAGTAGCGAGATAAGAGCTTCGAAGACAGGCCAACGTGGCGGCATGGTGCCCAGAGGTGGACCAATGAACCTAGAGAGTAGGAAACTACTCTCGTGATGGCTATCGTAGCGAGTCTTCTGAGAGAACTGCGAGCCAAAAAGACGTTCCCGTGCCACTTGGCGGGCCACTTGAGCCCGAGAAGTGGCATACCGGGCGTACTCTGAAATCATTTGAATAGTTTATAGGAAAAGAGGCCAGCCGTGTCGTGGCAGGACGAATTGTATGCGAATTTCACGTAAGGCAAAGTACTATCCCAATCAAGGTAATCTTTGGAAACGTACATACAGAGCATGGTTGTCAAGAGTCGATTTAGGCGCTCGGTAAGACTATTTGTTTGTGAATGGTAGGCTGTAGTGAGCTTGTGACATGCCGGAACATAAACGAAGGATGTCGCTTACGACTTTTGAAAGAAATGAGCGACCACGATCGGTCAGCATCTGCCGAGGAGCGCTATGATGAAGAATAACGCCATGCAGCAAGAAATCCACGACGTCAGTGGCACAGCTTGTGGGTAGTGCTAGTGTGATAGCATATCTTGTGGCATTGTCAGTGGGTACGACTATCCACTTGTTTCTAGTCAGAGACGTAGGAAATGGTCCAATGAGATCTATACCGACA